GTTGAACTAACCGACCATTTCTATGCCAGGACGAAATATTACAAACAAGTGATGATTTACGAATGTGATTTGAATCCAAATGACTGAGAAAGATCTCTTAGTTGAAATTCCGTTTAAAAAGGGTGAGAAACTGAAGGGTTGAAACTTAGCACGCACTGCGCATCTGTAACACCATCCCATCTCCCTTCCCCTGACCCATTCTCATCCTGGTTTTTCATATTCAGATGTGTTTCTCTTCCTTATTTCGCGAAAAAAATTGCTCGGTTTTGCTTGTTTATTTGATTTCAAAGCTTTTTAAACTTTCACCGGGATAAAATGACTTTTCTTGACAATTATATCTTAATGTACGATGTAACATCACAGCCCCTGAGCTGACATTATTACGTATGTACCGTAATCAGAGCCGTTAAAGCCGAAGTGATTCTGAAGATATTAATAGACCACATGTACTTTTAAAACCAGTTAAAGTGATGATGTTGACGAATACAGTTTGACTGATTCAGAAAGACAGAGATTTAGAAAGCCAAAAACACAACGGCAGGTTCACTCGATTTATTTATATGTGTCTCCTCTATAACAAAACCACCACAACTCGCCAATTTACAATTCAAATTGTATTTTTAGCTGCGCAGGAACAATGTCTGCCAGAGAGGGCATTAAATTGTTTTTCTTCCGTCCATAGAGACCTAGCTGATCACGCGGTAGGCTCCATCTTTAGCTTTTTCATTTACTGAAAGGCGACGTCATCAGCCTCCGTGTGATGGCACGAGGCGTCTTCCGCAGGAAGCTTAAAGCTGGAACGTCTTAAGAGTTATTTTTAATCAGTTTTACAGACGATTCTCCCTTCAATTGACATATGGAGAAATAGGACATGTTACCCTTCCACGGGCCTCCTCAGCCGCTTTTAAGGTTTTCAAAACAGCTTGCATCCATTTTACGAGCATTGAATCCGGCTGGAGGGGATAAGAAATACGTAAATACATTGTAAGATTAAAACGAAACAAAACAATACAAAGAAGTACAAGTTAAATGAATAATATAACCTTCCCAGTATGAAAACGAACACAAATGATGCCTTTCTGGCCTCGTTCTCCAGTGCAAAGTTCAAAATAATACATTATCTCAAGCGAGGTCAGAGAGGCTAATTTAAATTTAAACAAAAGAATATTAATCCGGCAGCCATTTATGAAAGTGGTCAATGAGTAACAATAACATGGTCTTGGTGCGAAATTAAAAGAAACCACACAACCTACATGTCACTCACAAAGCTGTAAACTTTTTAAGAGACCCCAGGGCTCTGGGTGAATCTGAAGTGATTATTCAAGAAGCCTGACTGTCAATGAACCCTTTACAATCCAGCATTAGTATTCATGATATTCTCCACACTGTTCTCTCTGCATTTCCTATGATACTGACAAGGAGAATTTGTTTGCCAATCAGGAGCTTGTTGAATTGGTGATTAGAATTTCCTTGATTCTCATTGGAGCTTTACTTTTGATTTTAGGGTGATACTGTGAGGAGAAATTAGAACCAGTCCCCCTTAGGGGTTTAAAGGTCAAAACAATTTAGAGAGGCTCCTTCATTTTCACATTTAGAAAATGAACGAAAAAGTCATAATTATAATCAGACTGCTTGGAAGGTGTAAGTAAGCTCAAATCAAACATTGAATAGGAAGCATGATCATTCTTTGGTCAGGTTGACCAAGGACAAGAATAAAGAGAAAAGTATTGTCAGCGATAAACACAGATAATGTCATCATTAGTAAACTTGGAAAGAAATTAGTGGAGGACCCAATTTTGTTAATTAATTCAGTTGCAGCTGAGGCATACTCGTGAGTCAGTAAGTTAGTTAGTAAACACATGTCATGGTTTTTTCAATTGTTTTCCACTACCACAATTGAAAGACATTTCTTCAGCTGACTACTTGCCTACTCTTTCACCACCATTTCAGCAAGAGTTATTCAAGGCTTGATGTTCATGACCATGTTAAGGATTTCCACAATTTTGAAAGGAAATTAATTAAATAAATGATCTTTTCTGAGATGTTAAACTTACTTAAACCCTTTTTAAATGGTTCCAAAGGTTGATCTTCAAAGAAATCACAGACAAGCGCCCCCAAAATCATCTATTATTCACTGATAAATTGTGTCATCTACTATAAAAGAAAAACAAAAAAACAAAGCAAAACAAAACAAAAGAACAAACAAAACAGAAAGAAAAAAAATGCTTGAGCGAAAGGAATTCAATTTTTCAGATGCTTTTCAGCAAATGGTGACATTAACAAGTTGTTCAGTTACTACAGAAGCCATAATTTTAATGAAATAAATTTCATTTGACATGTAGATGAAATTCAACCCAAGAAATTATCTTCTCAAGTAAAGTGCAATTTATTTTAAAGCAATTGCAGAAAATAAACCAGAAACATTCATGCTTTGAAAAGATTTGAACCCCTGCCTTCATGATACTAGTTGGGCAGTCTACTACCAACTGTCAGCTACAAAGCCACATGTTGATAGGCAAAATTTAGAGGCAAATCTGATCATAGTATTTAATAATTAACTCAATTTGAGCTGCAGATGAAAATCAAGCAATGCACCAACACATACTGAAAAATATAACAGCCCTTGCGAACTGAATTCCCAGTTTTCTGTGAATTCCTGGGAATTCTCAAAAATTCCCAACAATGCAATAAGCTCTGATTTGAAAAGCTTGGAATGACTGGAAATTTCTGGAAAAGGAAGGTTCCAGTTTTGTGAGGACTTGAAATTCCTAGAAATTACAAGGAATTCTCAGCTATACAAACTACTTATAAGTTAAGAAGGGTGGAATTCTTGGGAATTTCTGTGTCCAAGTAATTCCAAGAAATTCTCAACACTGGGAACCTGAAGGTTTTAGGACAAGAAGTAATTTTGGAGGCTTAAAACTTTGGTTCAATAAAAGGTATGCCTTATAAAATATACCAAGAGATATATTACATAATTATATATATATGTTTGTCATGAAATTTATTTTTCAAACTAAGTCTTTGCAAATCTTAACATTAATAAGCATTTTTTCATGAAGCAGCAGTCGATTAAATTGTCAATTAATCCAATGTACTCATATCACAGATTTGCTTTCTAACCTTTAAGGCCTCGTGGATTCCATGATCATAAAGGTTTTTATTGTGATGCAAAATGTCTCATCTCCACAGATATGCTAAAATCATAAAACATAAACATAATCATACACAGAGGAACACTTCAGAATGTGCATATCCATTTGTAGGTGAGAATCTCAACACAGGTCGCCCAAGCTCTGCCACAGGCTCTTTCACAGTGGATTATTAAAGAGTTTGTCAAGTGGTTTAGTTGGGCTTGCTTTTGAGCTCCATAAAATGTAAAGTTGTGTGAAATAATCAAAGAAATAAAGTCTTAACCTTCATAGAGAGCACAGACTACTCTCTATGAAGGTAAGACAATTTTCTTTGATTTATTTCGCACAACTTTACATTTACGGAGCTCAAAAGCAAGTCCAACTAAACCACTATACAAACTCTTTAATAATCCATTGTGAAAGAGCCTGTGGCAGAGCTTGGGCCACCTATGCCTTCTCTTGTACAAATGTTTCTTCGTTATGAGACGTACTTGACTCTTTTGGCACCACTGCTGGTTCAGTGGAAACGAAAGACTAAGGAATCGAGATGGCTGTGTTGGAACATGTTGCTGAACGTTTGTTGCGGTCAAACTTTGTTGATTTGGGTACACTA